GCAATTGTCCTCTATTTCCAGCTTTTCGTGAGCTCAGAAACTGGAAGTGACTTGATTTGGACATGCTGCTCTTTAGTAGCTAAGACAAGCAAGCCAACTTTAAAGGCAGGATCCCTGATGATTTCATTTGGATCATAACACGCATGACTATTTTTTTTTTAAGTATGGTGTGGTGATGTAGCTATTCCTAATGTGGCAGTAAGAAACCTTCCTTTAATTTCTGAAATTTGTGAGATATTTAAAACAACCCAAACCCACTGTTATAAAGGAAAGAATTCAAACAAAGATCTAAGGACAGATTTCTCAATTCAAACTAATATTTTTCCAAAGATAAAGATAACTCAAATTAAAACTAATGATATTAATATTTTGGTTTAAACTCTTCTAACTATGCCTTGGCTCCAAAATTTTATGTTGACTTTAATTCTAAAGTTGAAAGTCAGAATAAAAGCGACTTAATTCTTCTAGTTTTTGATTTGTTCATTTTTTTGTTCACTTGAGGAAAATGAAGTTTTAATTGTCTACATATCCAAATATAAATTCAATGTTGAAAACCATAAATAAATTTCAGACTAGCTGGATGCCCAGTCCAGTCAGAACTTTAGCATGAAAATGAAAAGAAATGATAACCCAGATAAAATTTCTAATCACTTGATGCTTACTATAATGATTAAAATATGCAGAAATTGAATTAGCAGATTTATCATGCATGTTATAATAAGCAAGACATTTAGGTTAATTTGTAAATTCAACTGTACAAGGTGATAAAATCCAGAAAAATCAAGACTCCTGAATTTTATTATTTTTCTTTTTTTGCAAAGTAGGCATCAAAAAATATGGAATGCTTCATGAATTTGCATGAAGCCCCCTTTGCTCAGGGGCCATGCTATCTTCTCTGTATCGTTCCAATTTTAGTATATGAGCAGCTGAAGCGAGCACTGAATTTTATATTTTTTTAACCCTATTTCCCACATCAAGTTTCCCTACCCTCCCATGCTAGGAAAGTTAAAAATCTAATAAATGTGAAGCCAAAAATGAAAAGTGGATTCGCAGAGAACAAAAGAAGACAGAAAATTTACATCATCATGAACAGAAATGATGGGGTTATTCCTGTGGTAGGATAGGAAAATTATGTTTTTCTAAAAGACCAAGAAGTTAAAAGTTTGTCATTTTCAATCAGTGTGAGAAACCTAAACAGCTGAAAAAAAAAAATGAATGCAAAAGTAAGAATAGCAGAGAGCTAGCACAGAAGTAACAGCCTCCTTCAACGTAGAGCTTTGCACTCACTGTGGGTTTATGAATTTCTAGTTACAGACAGCATGTAAAATCTATCGTCCTTACATATACATGGAATAAAAGCTTGTACATTCACTGTGGCTTATCAAAATAGGATTAGGAAATGTTATACTTAACAATACAAATGATCCAAAGCAGACCACTTTCACATAATTCAATATCCATCATAAAGAGCCAGATTTAACTTATTTGACTTTCAGGCAAAGTTCCAAAAACCATGGGATTCATCAAACTGAACTGTATTCCATTATATTCTGTGCTTAAAATTAATTGCCATTATGTATTTCATCACTATGACACACTTCACACACACACACACACACACAAAAATTGCTGGCTGACACTGTGCATGTTTTGCAGAACTGACAAGTTTTCTAAATCTACTTAAAAGGTTAACAGAAGGAACCCTGGACTTTCAAATTATAATTATGTAGGTCACTATGAACATTTTGAGACAGACTGTGATATGATCCGTTATTTCACTTCTAATAAATGCAGTTGACAGGGTCCTTTCTGATCCACCTGTGCAAGTTTCAACTTGCTGGGCTTGTTGGTGTTTCTGGAAGGGCTTCATTTGTTTCAGTTCATGTGGACTTTGTTTCTTAATTTTTACGTATCAAAAAATGGTATGAATCTGACAAAGGACTGGTAACTAGAATGTACAGAGAACTCAAACTAATCAATAAGAAAAGAGCAAACAATCCCATTTACAAGTGGGTAAGAAACTTGAACAGAAACTTTTCTGAAGGAGACAGACAAGGGAATAACATGAAAAAAATGTCCATTGTCCCTAATCATCAGAGAAATGCAAATCAAAACCACTCTGAGATAACATCTAACCCCAGTGAGAATAGCCTACATCACAAAATCCCAAAGCTATAATTGCTGGCATGGATGTGGAGAGAAGGTAACCATAAAAGAACAATAGTTTAATCTGGGAAAAGTCATTCTCAACAACAGACTGTCCATTCAGGAAGAATTTCCACAGAGGTAACAACTATTCAGTATAGGCATCTCCTGAGTAATCTTTTACACTGCTGGTGGGATTGCCAACTAATACAGCCTCTTTGAAAAGAAATATGAAGAAGCCTCAAAGAGCTAAATGTAGACCTTCATTTGACCCTGCAACCCCATTACTAGGTATCTACCCAGAAGAAAAAAAAATCATTTTATCACAAGGACATTTGTGATATTTCTTGCAACTCAATTCACAATTGCTAAGATGTGGAATCAAC